GCCGGTGAGATTAGAACCGCTGAACTGCAGATAACAGTCAGCTGAAGTGGCCTGCAGTACTGCACCCTAACCACTGCGCCACCTCGGCTCGATTTAGAAATTAAGCTTGAAGTTACTCCATAAAGTTTGCTATAAAATTCCTTTGGACCTTTGAATTTTGAAAAAAGATTTTTTGTTCTTTTTAAAAAATAATGTTGTTAAATATTATAATTGCAATAGTAAAAACATATACTAAAGAAGTAAATTAAAGACAGGAGATTAGAAAGTAAAAAAAGTACAAAGGAAAAGATAAGAATTAAAAAAAGAGAAATTACTTCCAACTTTAATCACAACAAGTACAAACAACTTTGTTTAGTTTATTTCTTAATTTACAAACAATGAGGTCTCCATCCTGTTCCCCATCTCTTACCTATAAGCAAAGCACGGTCATTTCAATGACCGTGTTTTGCTTATAGGTAAGCAAAATTCCATTCAGAGTAATCAAAAATTACATATTTTAACCTTGATCAAATAAACCAACTTTATATTCCTGCTATTTATTGTACTTCTGGCAATCTTAATCTTTAGTTTTTTTAAAGAAATGTAGAACTTGATTTCATTTCTTTTTTGCCCCTTCTCACAAGATTCATCCAACTTTTTAAAAAATCTCTTTTGTAAATCTAATATAAAACAATTGTCAGGCATGCTCTTAGTTTATTATTTGTAATTCCATTTTAATTTTAACAACTTTTTTCCATATTCTGTCATTTATAGATCCGTTTTCATGTCAACTCTGCCAGATAAAACCTGTTCCTAGTCTTCCATTTCTTTCTTAACATCTTTTAGACACTGTCTATTCATAGAAGCAAACATTGTTATTGACATTGTTATTATTAAACTTCTGATTCCATTTTTCAAAATTGTCCTTCAGTATTTCCAATGCAGTATGTTGCATCATTCTATACTTGTTAATCAGGACCATGTATTTTCTTTTCATTAAAGTCCAGTTCCCTCCAATGTCTAATTTTTAAAATTACATACAGTACCTCTATTATGTTTTAGAAACAAAATCAAAATCCATTTTCCCATGAGAAGAATTCTTTACAATTAATTCCAAAATCAAAGTCTTAACTATTTACTCTTTATTTCAAACATTTAAAAATCAGTAAGCCCATGTGACCGGATATGAAGATGCCGACGACACTTGTCAGAACCACCTTAAATTACCTCACACACAGCACTGGCATGCATAAGAATAGGATGNTAGATAGATAGATAGATAGATAGATAGATAGATAGATAGATAGATAGATAGATAGATAGATAGATAGATAGATCTATCTATTGATTATAACTCAATGGATGATAGATGACAACAAAATTGATGCAGACTACTTGAATGAGTATTTAAAATCTACAAAAAATATGCATTGATATTACTCTTGGAATATCTGTTTTTCCTGGTAACCCTAATAGAAATTAAGGAGGAATAAATCCTCAAATACATCTTCCATTTTGGCTATTGAGAAATACTAATAGATTTATTCAGCTTCATTTTCAATCCTGCTTTGGTATTTTGAAATAAACTAGTCTAAAAGGTAGTATCTTGACAAAACACCTGAAGGGAATTAATCGCTATCATCCCTCAATTTCTTACATTTTTTCAGCTCATCAGGGATTGGATTTCCCATTTGACTAAGATCAGAGAAAGCCATGGGTTTTAGGATCATATTTATCGTGCTTTGAGATCTGGAACAATTTAATCCATTAGCTAGGATCTATAATGCTGATGTCAGATAGGTGAAATGACCAGTATTTCTCTATTTTTTTTTTCAAATAATCTTAAAAATTACGAGTAGGAAGAAAACTTAACAACCTTAAGTTTTAACCCCTTTAAATATAGTCCTAGAGTTTATTTTCTGTACATCTTTTTTTAATCCAATAATATTTGTAACTTTAAAAGATTCCTTTTGTAGAACCAGTAAATAACGTTTGGCCTTTTTAAAATCATTTCTCATAATGTCCTTCAAGACTTTAACAGATCTCTTTTGTAAGTTCAGTAAGAAAAAGTTATTTTTGCTGATTTAAATGTATATCCTCTCACAGTGAAATATCCAGTTTCATTCGCATATTCAGTATATCTTTTTGACACAATTAAGTCTACAGTCTAATTAATTTCATACTTATCCATTGTAGCTGATTCTTCTTGTCTAACTTCATTGTCCCATGTTCCCTCATATCAAAAACTTTGAAGACCAATATTCGAAAACATGCATTAAAGTTTGTTGTTCCATTATTTATTTCCTTGTTAACAAAATGGATGTATTATTCTCTAGCTTCCTCTGATGTCAAACCTTCAAGGTCCCATTATCATGTTTCTCCTTTAAAAAGCCCAAACAATTGCCAATTCTGACAAGAAAATTTTTTTTCTAATTAATTCAGAATTGTAATTCCAAATCTATCTGGACTTTTAATCCTTGTTACCATTCCAAAATCATATTCTATACATCTTTTTCCATTTAATCAAAAAAAATCAATATTTTTCCAGAGCCTTTAAAATCACATTTAAAGCATCTTTCTCCAAGGAGAAGGCAACTCACTCAATGAATACAGCAAATATTTTCAGGACAATAAAAGAAATAATCCAAAAAATGATTAAGAAATGAGGGTCAGGCAGGGTTTATGTCTTCAAAAGGCTGTGTTACAAGTATGAGCCTGATAGTTAACTATCCCTCAATTCTCAGCCACTCAACTCATAAGTTGACCATGGAACAAGTGTAGCCTCTGATCTACTCACAATGAGCAACTGTCTGGAGTCACATGGATTATCTCAACAATCTCTCCTTCCTCGGGAGAGATTTTGCTGGTCAGGATCCATCATTCAGCCACAAATTTCTTTGTACACCTGGTCCTGCTAACAATAGAATATTTCTCAACTTCAGGAACTTGCTGTCTGGACTTCAACTTCCAGATTTCACTAACCAGCTTGTTGAGGTTGAGAAACACTGGCCTAGACTAAATTTAATTAGACTGTAGTATTTCAAATGATATGAACTCTGTCATATCATTTAATGCTGAAGAATACTTAAGGCTTCCCTTGGTACAATGGCTTTCTAACAATTATGTGCCATATGACTATGTGTCTGAGGTAGTAGTATGGTTACAACAGAGAAATGAAGGGTCATTGAAATTACTACCCCCGATTAAAATGTTATGATCTGTGGATCAAAGACTTAACTATAAATCATATTTGCACTAAATGAGAAACGCTATAGACTTTTTCAGGTATCATATTAGCTCAGAACTGTCTGGTTCCATGTTGTAGAAAAAAAAATTCTGAGAGTTTTGAAATACAGCTTTTTGATGTAACAAGATATTTCTTGTATTGTAAATTGCCATTGCATTCTCTTATGGTTGTTTACAGGTGACAATAAACACCAGAATTATATTTTGTTTGTTTAATGGTTGCATGAGTAGATTTTCATTCAAATGAAGTAAATGTCTTTCGGTGCATAGACTTTGTGGTAAAAATAATGCTGCCATTTGCTTTGTTTCTTGTCTGTTAGCATAATTGTAGTATCAAACTATTAATTTATTCAGGAACCGTAAGTTTGAAAAACTATTCTTAAAAATCCTGTTAATTCTTCTTAGCTATCATCTGTTTAAGAGGTTATAATCCAGTGAGCTTTTTAGTCAGATTTTAATAGCTAGAGAAGGAATAAATTCTTCTACTCTCATGGAACATAGGAATATATTATTCTCAAAAACTGTGTATTGCCTCAAAAATTAATTTCACAGTTCTTCAAGTCCTAATATAGTTGGTACCATCTAGTATAAACTGTGTATATATGAGCGTATGTGTGCTTGGACAAGCATAGGGAGTTTAAATGATCTACCAAATGCAAAGGATTAATAGAAATAATGGAAGCATTCCAATACTTCTAATATTCCTAATAACTCTATGTATTCCTTCTTTTCCCTTTATGAGCAAAACTGAGAACAGTCCCCTTCCATTCACACAGTCAGTGGTGGGATTCAAATAATTTAACAACCAGTTCTCTGCCCTAATGACCAGCAGGGTAGGCGTGGCTTGGTGGTCATGTGATTGGGTGGGTGTGGCCAGCTCAACGTCACTCAGGTCAATGGGCGCTTCGCCTTAGCTGTTACAATATAATAAGGGTTAACCGGAGAGGCAGTTTCTGTA